GGGACCGGCAACGGGATCGCAACCCTCGGTGTTGCTCCCGCACCTCGCTCAGCCAGTGAGCGGGAACCGGTCTGTATGTGGGATCCGAACCCTCGGGCGGGAGCGCCGCCGCGCTTCCCAAGCGGCGCACTATCCAGTGCGCCACCGGGCCGGCCCCAGGTGTAAGCTTTTTTTATAAAGAAGAAATTGCCAAACTACTTTCCAAAGTGAATATGCCATTTTACATTCCCGCCAGCAAAGTATGAGAGTTTGATTACTGTCCATCCCAAGCAACATATGGTATGGTCTGTCTTTCATTTTAGCTATTTTAGTGTGTATGTAATGGTATCACATTGTGATCTTAGTTTGTTTTTCTCTAATGACTAATGTTCTTGAGCATCTTTTCATGGGTCGCTATTTGTGCTTGAATGTCTTCAGTGAAGTATCTTTTCAAATCTTTAGCCCATTAAAAAAGTCAGGTTATCTTATTGGTAAACACCATTTTTTATAGTGCAGGTCTGCTGGTGATGAATTCACCAGCCTTTAGAAATGCAAGAAAGTCTTTATTTTCTTTTGGTTTTGAAAGATGTTTTTGGTGGGTATAGAATTCTAGGTTGACAGGTTTTTTGCCTTTTTTTCCCCCTATTTATAAATGTTACACCACTTTGTTCTCACTGGCATTATTTCTGATGAGAAGTCTGCTGTCATTCTTTGTCATGGGTACCATGTTTCTTTTTTTCTCTAGATGTTCTCAAGATTTTATTTGTTATGACTGGTTTTCACCAAATTTGATGATAATGTGCTCTGTAGTTTTCTTTGTGATTCTTGAGCTTGGGGTTTGTTGAACTTACTGGATCTGTGGGTTTATAGTTTTTTTCAAGTTTGGGAAATTTTCAATCATTTTTTCTTCATATTTTTTTCTTCCCCTCCTCTTTTCTCACCTTTCCTGAAGAGACTGATTACACATAATTTTGCCAATTGAAGTTGTCCCACGTCTCACTGATAGTGGTTTGTGTTTTTTTCAGTCTTATTTTTTGTGTTTCATTTTGGATAGTTTCCATTGCTATGTCTTCAAGTTCACTAATCTTTTCTTCTCTATTGTCTGATTTACTGTTAATCCCATCAGATGTATTTTTCAGGTCAGATATTATAGTTTCCATCTCTAGAAGTTAAATTTCAGACTTTTAATAGTTTTCATTTCTTTTCTCTATGTTTGTGCTTTTCTTTGCTTTCCTGAACACACGGAGTATGTTTATCAGCACCACACTCTCCTGACACATGGAGTATATTTATAATAGCTGTTTTAACATTCTTATTGCCGATTCTATCATCTGTGTCATTTCTGGATCTAGTTCTACTGGTTTTTTTTGAATCATGCTTTCCTGCTTATTTGTATGTTGAGTATTTTTTTGTTGGATGCTGGACATTTTGAATTTTATGTTTTATACTGGATTTAGTTTTATTTAATTTAAAAGAACTACAACTGGCCTACCTTCATGGTTTGGCGTATACTCTCAAAGATACCACAGAAATATTTGGCTTCTAAAAATCTTGGTTCATGCCACATATGTTGATATTTATTTTGCTCCACTTGATTCATTAGTTAGAAGCAGAACAAGATCCTCACTTTGTGGTAATAGGTTTAAATCTGCAGACACAAATTTTTATCAGTAATTTTTCTGTGTATTTGAAGGGGAATGAGCACTAACATTTATTGATTATTTAGGATGTGCCAGACATTGTGTGGGGCTTTGTTTGTGTGCATGAACTCATGGAATTCTTCCAGCAGCCTCATTTTACAAGTAAAGATTAGTTGTTGACCTTTACCACTATTTTCTTTTCTTCTTCCATACTCTGGACATTTTAGTCCACCATTGTGTGGCCATAGCAGTGTCTTAAGTTTTGAGAGCCCATATGTGCATAGTTCATGTGCTGGGCCTCTTTTGAGAGAAAAAGAAATTAAATATTACTTGTTTTATCAGTTCCCCTGTACTTAGCACAACACCTGACAATTATCACCCCATTTTTATAGATGAGTAAACTAAGGTTTAGTGTTGTAAAATTGGCTAGAGTTCTTGGTTGCAAATAACTGGAACCTAGCTCAGGTTGCCTTAAGCAGAATAAGAAATTAGGTTGGCTCATTTTATTGTGGAACAAATCTCAGGGGCTGTGATTGCAGGTACGTCTGGATCCAGGTGCTTAGTGTCATCAGTGGCCTACTGCTCTTTATCTCTTAGCTCTGCATTCCTAGGTGTTGGCTTAATCTAGAGCAGGCTCTTCCCCCAGGTGTGGCAAGTTGACCAGTTTATCAGCAGCTCCAGACTTACGTTCAGCAGCTCACTTAGTCATTCACTCAGAGAGAAGCGTGCTCTTTTTAGTAGTTCAGACGTAAGTCCCAGAGTGGTCCCTTATTGGCCCAACTGGAGCAGTGTGTCACTGTGCATGCCAGTGAATTACAGTGGCTGAGGTTGTGGAATATATAGGCACACACAGGGTGAGGGACAAGAGTGAGTAAGAGTGACACAAGCTTAAAAGGAAAGTCAGGTTATGTTATCAGAAGGAAGGGGAAGGGCCGGCCCGGTGGCGCACTGCTACAGTGCGCCGCTTGGGAGCGCGGAGGCCCTCCCGCNAAAAAAAAAAAAAAAAAAAAAAAAAAAAAAAAAAAAAGGAAGGGGAATAGATGTTGGGCAGGCAAAAACAACCAGTACTTAATTAACTTGCCCCAGGTGATTTAGAAAGTAATAAGTGTAACTAGGATTCTATTAATAATAAACTTGTTGGTCTTACCCTAAAGCCACAGAGCCTGCTGCACTTTAACTATCAAGTCCGACTGCCTTCTTGTTCAGTCACTATTTGTTAAATGTCAGCCTTCTAGGAATTTACAGTTCTGGGATTTATGAGAAACACAAAACATTTGAGAAATAATTGATTGCTGACCTGTGTCATCCTACTGCTTTAAGAATTCAGAAGGGGATGGAGGTTTTTGAAATGGAAGGGAGTTGAAAGATTTATTATTATGATTACCATTTAATTAAGAAGTATTCTACAGGAAATACTGGATTTTAGAATTTGCTAACATAAATGTTGATGTACTATATTTCCTCTTCATAGTATTGGACCAAGTACAGACCTTTCTTCCACAGATGGCCCAGGCAAATGAGAAGCTAAGAAAAGACATGTCAGCCGCACCACCTGGTCGTTTCAATATTGAAAACATTGATGGGACTCTTGGAAAAGTTATACAAATGGTAACTTTGCTTTGTTTTCATTTCATATAGTAAAATTACCAGTGTGCCTCGTCACCTAGAAAGAAGAGACATAATTTTTCCATTTTATTTTCAAGTATTAATTTTCCTCATGTTAGCTCATGTTTCCAGTACTGAAGAGGTGCATAGCTATTTTATGATTAAGGCCTTATAGGTCAGTAAGCTTCTCTGGGTAAAGTTTAGAGATTTACTCACATGGAGTCACAGGAGGGCTTTTTCAAGTCAAATATTACATTTGTTACCTTGTAGCTTTAATTTACTAAATGTCCTAACTGGATATTTCTTTTTCCATCGAAGCACCGAAAGAGGTAATCATAGTCTGATTTCACTGAGTGTGCAAAAATAAATGATGTGTTTGAGTGATTGATCACATAAGCTACATGTAAACGTTGTCTCTCAATTTATACTCATGTCTTCTTTCTACGCTGGAATTCCTTTTCTAACACTTATGTCTGGGTAGAGCTGATACCATTGTTAGTAGTAATATTTATTAGCAAATCTGGTCAGCTCCACCTCTGGAATATATTCCAAATCCAACCACTTTGTACAATCTCCACTGCTGCGTCACTTGGTCCAAGTAATTATGGTCTCTCTTGTGGACTATTACAGTAATTTCCTCAAAAGTCTCCCTGTTTCCACTTTTTCCTACACGAATTCTGTTTTTCTCAGTGTGTGTGGTTCATTGTTTGGGAACCAGGGGGTTTCCCATCACATTTCTAATGAATTGGAAGTCCTTCAAAGGTCCCATACAATCCTGCCTCCACCTGTCTGTCTAACTTCATCTACACAATTATCCTGTTTACTGCCCTCCAGCTCCAGTCTCATTGCTCCAGACTGTTTCCCTTGGGGTTTTTCCATGTAGAATGCTTTTCCCCAGATTTCTGCATCTGGACTTCCTCTATCTCTTTTCAGTCATCACCTCATCAAAAGTCCTTCCCTGATGGCCCTGTTATTGATCTTGTCCTGATTTATTTTTATTTTCACCACCATACACTTTATATGTAACATGTCTTTATTTTCCCTGTAGAATAGGGGTCAGCAAACATTTTCTATATGATGCCAGATAGTAAATTTTTTAGGCTCCGCAGGGTCATACTGTCCATTGTGACTACTCAGCTTTGCTCTTGTAGTGTGAAAGCAACCATTGACAATACATAAATGAATAAGCAAGGCTTACAAACTTTATGGATACTGAAATTTGAATTTCATGTAATTTTCATGTTTCATAAAATAGTGTTCTTATTTTGATGTTTTTTCCTACACTTTAAAAATGTCGGGCCGGCCCGGTGGCGCACTGGAGAGTGCGCCGCTTGGGAGCGCAACGGCGCTCCCGCTGAGTGTTCCCATCCCATGTGGAGACCGGTTCCCACTCGCTGGCTGAGCGCGGTGCGGGTGCAACACCGAGGGTTGCGATCCCGTTGCCGGTCCCCGGTGCGGGCGCGACACCGAGGGTTGCGATCCCGTTACCAGTCAGCAAAAAAGACAAAAAGGAAAAATAAATAAAAATAAAAATGTAAAAACCATTCTTAGTTCATGAGCCAAACAAAAGTAGGCATTAGGCTGGCCTGCAGGTTGTAATTTGTTGGCTCCTGCTCAAAAATGTAAATTTCATGAAGGTAAGGGTTTTGTTTTGATTTTTTGTTGTTGTTGTTGAATCTGTGGTACCCAATGTGGTGCCTAATGTTAATATTTGTTGAATGAATGTTGTTGGTGTTTTTAGTATATATAGAATTAAACTTGTAGTAAATGCAAATCATTATTAAGGTGTACCCTGGCAACTAAAAACACAAAAGTACCATGTTGTATTAAAAACATTTCTTGCCCTTTATGCTTCAATCTTTGTGCTGAATTTTGGTGGTTCTCAATGTTGTCTTATTACAAGTTTTTAGGGAACTGCCCTGAAATAAATTTCCCATCTAATACTTTTTACAGGATGTGGCCTTGTTTGAGATGAATCAGTCAGACTCAAAAGAAGAAGACAGTTCAGAAGAGAGTTCACAGGACAGTTCAGAGGACAGTTCAGAATCTGAGGCTGAAGATGACAGCATCCCCGGTGAAGTCACCATAGATAACATTAAGCTTCCTAATTCGGAAGCTGGGAAAGGCAAGATTGAAGTTTTGGACAGTCCAGGTAGTAAAAAAAAGGAAATAGTGGAATAAAAGATCCAAAAAGAAACAGGTGATACGTGCCTGCTAATTCTTGAAGAAGAATGTGATTCACTGACTAGTTTACATTTCAGGTACTCATGGTGCTTTTATATTCTAAAAGAAAAACTTTAGACAAATTTAACAGAGTTTATTTGAGCAAAGAATTATTCATAAATTAGGCAGCACTTAAAACTTAAAGGGGTTCAGAGTTCTGCTGTGCAGCATGGGCAATAAAAGCTTATCTTTTGTAGGCTGAACACATAAGTGAAGTGCAGAAATAACTTGATAGATTACAGCTAGATGTTTGCCTTTGGACATGGTTTGATCAGCT